AAGTGTACTATTTAAAGTCTTCATTTAGGGGTGCCTGGGTGCCTTAGTCCTTAAGCGTCTGCCTTCGGTTCAGGTCATGGTCCCAGGGTCCTGGGATCGAGCCCCGCATCGGGCTCCCTGCTCTGCGGGAAGCCTGCTTCTCCCTCTGACCCTCCCCCTGCTTGTGTCCCTTTCTCGCTGTGTCTCTCTCTGTCAAATAAATAAAATCTTTAAAAAAAATAATAAAATCTTCATCTGATAATTCATAGCATTGTGATTTGTATCTCTATTAGATTTTTTCTTTTCTTTCTTTTCTTTCTTTCTTTCTTTCTTTTTTTTTTCTTTCTTTCTTCTTTTTCTTTCTATGAGGTGTTCATTTTACTTAGAGAATTAATTACATGAGTTCTTTGAGGCTTGGGATCGTGGTATGCTCCTCCAGAGAGAATTTGTCTGAAACATTAAAGGCTCTGTGTTTGGGACCATTTCAGTCTAAATCAGCAACTTTATTAATTTTATTTTGGACTCCTAAGAAATACAAATTTGAGCTGCAAATTGGCAGAGCTTGCTTTTGGTTAGAACTTTTCAGAAACTTTTTTGTCCCTTCTTTGCTAGACACAAAGGCACCTTTTCTTGCAGTCTTCTCTGAGGGTGAGATGGGTAGGTTATTTAGGCATACACTTTAGATCAATGCCATAAAGGTCACCTATGGACTTTCTTCCTGGGCCAATCCTTGAATTTGCATCTTGTCTACTACCCCACGAGGCTGGCAAAACCAAAGCTCAGTTTTTTGGGGTTAGGTTTTTGACCTGGTTATTCTTTATCATCTTGTCAGCTCTTCGATTTTTTTTTTAAGATCTTTTTACTCTTTCATCAGGCATTTTCTGCATTAAGGGTGGTCTATATTATTTAATCTGCTACTGTATTCACATTCAAAAAAAAACACTGTGGTTGTGCTTTTTTTTTTTTTTTGGTAGTACACACTCTTTTATAGTATTTTAGATGGCTCTGTAGGTTGGATAGTGACTCATGAGTTACTTAATCATTATCCAATTTGGACGTTAAGCTATTTTCCTTAGGGTTTTGCTATTATAAATATTGATAAACTGATTTCCTTGGTAAAAATGTTAACAATTTTTATTGCCTTAATTTCTGTTGTATATGGAAAATTTTACATTTTCCAAATATAAAATATCCTTGGTCATTCAGATCTTGAGCCTTTCTCATAAAGGTTTTGTATAATATTTTCATAAAGATACTAACTCATTGTCTCTAAAGGTTACTTTGCTAAAATGCTTCTGTTTCTGCTTGAGGAGTATATATTAATGGAAACTATTAATGATTCTTTTGTCAAATTTTAACAAATGTTCTTATCATACTTTATTTGGAAGAAATTATTTAAAATTTATCCCTGTTAATTGTTTGCCAATTTTTTATTCATTGCTGTTTAGCATTCTGTAGTACTTACTTCAAAATTTTTCGTTATTTTTCTAAAACCTACTACTAGTCTTCTGCCTCACAACCTTGCAGTCCCCTCATAGCCATCTCTATTAGTTTTTTTGTGTTTTAAAAATAGCTCCTTGGGGCGCCTGGGTGGCTCGGTCGGTTAGGCGTCTGCCTTCGGCTCAGGGCATGATCTCAGTGTCCTGGGTTAGAGCCTGCATCGGGCTCCCTGCTTAGCGGGGAGCCTGCTTCTCCCCTCTGCCTCTCTCTCTCTCTGTCTGTCAAATGAATAAATAAAATCTTTAAAAAAAAAAAAAAAGATACCTTCTTGCCCCCCCCCGCCCATCTCAGTGGTTTACAGCAATTAACATTTATTTCATTCACACTGCTGACATTTATGCAGCTGTGAATCCGTTCTTGCAGCAGCCTTTCATGTGTATTTCACGTGTATCCAGGGCTCAGGCTGAAATTGTCACCCTATTTGAGAAGTGACATTCTTGCAGCAGAGAGTAAAAAAGGAGAGCTGATGTAAACCCATAGTGCCTCTTGAAGCTTCTGTATAGAGAGGTGGTATATGTCATATCTGTTTGTGTACTCATATGATTAAGTGCAGTGGGAATTGCATAAAAATGTGTGGCACTGGGGGCGCCTGGGTGTCTCAGTTGGTTAGGCATCCAGCTGTTGATTTCAACTTAGGTCATAATCTCAGGGCCGTGAGCTCCACGCTGCGGGTGTAGCCTGCTTAGGATTTTCTCTCCCTCTCTCTTTCTCTTTAAAAAACAAAAAAAAGTGTGGTACTGCAAGTCATAGTACTAGCCAGAGTATATGATGGAAGGGACAAGTAAATACTTGTCAACAGTAATACAATCTGCTCTCTCATGTTTAACTTTCTGGCGCAAATTTTTGTAATTACTCATATACATATTGAAGTTTCTTTGTGAAGTTTTCCTTTATGCCTTAAATATAGTTATTTCTGTTTTATCTTTGATCTTGAACGTACTTGAATGTAAGTTTATCAGGGACATATTCTTGTCTGCTTTGTTCAGTGCTTCCTCCGCACTAGAAGAATGCTTGACTCACAATGTGTTTTCAGTAAATGTTATGTTTCCCTTATTTCATCACTTATTCTGTCACTTAGCTAATTTTTTCTATCTTCATTCATTGTCAGTTCTCCTTGCTAGCTCTATTTCTGATGTCTCTTAATGACTATATATTTTAATTATTTTAATAAATCACAACTATGTATTTAACAAATTCTGTTAACTTTTTAATGAAGAGAATAAACTTTTGAGCTTTTAATTCCTCTGGAGAATATAGCCTACATATTTCTTCCCATAAAATGCTTATCACCCTCTCATTAAAAAGAGAAAAACAGGGTACCTGGGTGGCTCAGTCGTTGAGCATCTGCCTCCGGCTCAGGTCATGGTCCCAGGGTCCTGGAATCGAGCCCCGCGTCGGGCTCCCTGCTCAGCAAGGAGCCTGCTTCTCCCTCTCCCACTCCCCCTGCTTGTGTTTCCTTTCTCGCTGTGTCTCTCTCTGTCAAATTAAATAAATAAAATATTTTAAAAAAGAGAGAGAGAAAAACAACCCTCCCCTTTACTCTTAAAATCTGACTTCTCACTATTGCTCTAAAATTTCTTTACTTTTTGCATTTCTCATTCTCTTTGACTTCTATTGAGCCCCTACCCCCTTAAACGCTATTCCTCTAGATCCTGAGGAGTTACAATTCACTGTTCTGTTTTTTCTTTCTAAGGCTCTTCTCTTTTCTTAGAATGTTCTTCCTTCCTTTACCTCTTAAGTATACTAATACTCCCAGGTTCTATTTTTAACTCTCTCCATTTTTTTGTCTTCTATTGTATGTGTGTGTTTTTTAGAGAGGGTACATGTGCGAGCGGGGGTGGGGGGAGCAGGGAGGAGGAGCAGAGGGAGAGGGCGAGAGAGAATCTTAAGTATTCATGTCCAGCATGTGGGGCTGGATCTCATGACTCAGATCTTGACCTGAGCTGAAATCACAAGTTGGACCCTTAACTGACTGAACCACCCAGGCGCCCTGTCTTCTGTCATTTTTAGTGGAACTTTCATTCATATAGTTTTCACATTTATTTCTACATAGATGATTTACAAATCTGTGTCATAAAACTAGTTTTTCTCAAACTGAGGGTTGCTGGAGTGGTGGGGGGTGGGAAGGATTGGGTGGCTTGGTGATAGACACTGGGGAGGGTATGTGCTATGGTGAGCGCTGTGAATTGTACAAGACTGTTGAATCACAGATCTGTACTTCTGAAACAAATAATGCAACATATGTTAAGAAAAAAAAAGAAGATAGCAGGAGGGGAAGAATGAAGGGGAGTAAGTCGGAGGGGGAGACGAACCATGAGAGACGATGGACTCTGATAAACAAACTGAGGGTTCTAGAGGGGAGGGGGGTGGGGGGATGGGTTGGCCTGGTGATGGGTATTAAAGAGGGCACATTCTGCATGGAGCACGGGGTGTTATGCACAAACAATGAATCATGGAACACTGCATCAAAAACTAATGATGTATGGTGGTTAACATAACAATAAAAAAATTATTTAAAAAAAAACAAAACTAGTTTTTCTGAGTTTGCCTTATTTCCACTTGTGTCTTACCATCATCTCAACCTTGACATGTCCAAAACCAAATTGTTTCCTACTAGTATTGATTCCTCCCCTTGGAACTAACTCCTGTTTTTGTTGCTGGTGCATAGTCACCAGGCTTCTGAAAGGAAAGGGAAGAATACCAGCATTTGTTTAGCATCTGGGATACACTAAGCACTGTGCCTTTTGATTACATAATGTCTAGCTCAGGTTTTATCTCCTGAGAAACCTCCAGACAATCACGGTGGATCCTCTGTGATCCCTTCTTAGACCGCTTACAGTGCATTTGTGTTTAAACCACTAGATCCTCAGTATATGAATCTCCTATAATTCATACTTTTAGTTTGTAAGCCTTTCAAAAACAAAGATTTTTTTTAGAAGAAAAAGATTTTTTTTTACTATTTTTTTTAACAATGTATTATTTGTTTCAGGGGTACAGGTCTGTGATTCATCAGTCTTACACAGTTCACAGCGCTCACCGTAGCACATACCCTCCCCAATGTCCATCACCCAGCCACCCCATCCCTCCCACCCCCTCCACTCCAGCAACCCTCAGTTTGTTTCATATTTCCTTTCATCAAAACAGTACTCTCTAGGTACAGTACATTTTAATAAGTATTTGACAGTTTTCACAGAGAAACAGTGCTCTCAATAAGGGCATGAATCTCAACCTCAGTAACAAAACTAAATAAATGAAAATGAAATAACTGATAACACAAAGCTAAGTAACAGCTAAGCTGGACTCTTGAACCTTGCACCCAGTTGAAAGGGGTTAGCATCTAGAAGGGCCAGAGGCTCTTTACTTATACATTAAGGATCACCTGTTCACCTGTTGAAAAAAATCTTAACTCCATAACAATATCTCTTTATCAATAATATACCATCATAAAGCTTTTTTATATTGCTTTGATAACTATATTTATAGAGGTAGAATTATTTACTTTAGCTTCTCTTCCCCATTAGGTGCACCAGGTATAATTTCTTCACCCTATGCAGGGGCTGCTGGATTTGCCCCAGCCATTGGATTTCATCAAGCTACAGGTGATTTTTTTTTAAAGTTGAATTTGAAATGGTTTTATAATGATGTGTATGTTCTAGGAACTTATCAAGATGAAAAATAACACCATACTTGAAGGATTTACAATAAAAGCATTATATCAACAAACTTATCAAGATGAAAAATAGCACCATACTTGAAGGATTTACAATGAAAGCATTGAGTGGCTCATTGTATGATGCACATCTTCCTTGTCTTTACGAATAATTCCCTGTGGTCCCATTCTCAACCCCCCAAGTTCTAGTATATGTTCTGCATCATTTATACTGTTGGTATAGATAACTATAGGTTGAATGTATTAATTAACCTCACGTTTGCCTTTTAGATTCTTGTATAAAATGTATGAATTGCTTATTTGCTGATAAGCTTATCAATTGCATGTTGGACAGACCGGTGTCTCACCTACATTTGTGTTCTTAATGCCTTTGATGGCATTCAGTACATACTATGCAGTCAATAAATACTTGAATTATTTTTTTTTAAGATTTTATTCATTTATTTGAGAGAGGGAGAGATAGAAAAAGAGCATGACTGGGGGACGGGGCAGAGGGAGAGGGGGACGCAGACTCCGCACTGAACAGGGAGCACGATGCGGGGCTCAATCCCAGGACCCCAAGACCACGACCTGAGCCAAAGGCAGAAACCCAATAGACTGAGCAACCTCGGTACCCCAGTAAATACTTGAATTAATAAATATTTACTATGCAACATATTTGTAAATCCTTTCTTATGTCACTGATGGGTTCAGAGGATTGCCATAGAGTATATATGCTGCTTATTTTAAGGGATATATATTTTTTAGGTAATAGAGATAATTAAGAGATAGCAGTTGCTTAATATTTTGATAATGACTTCTCTTCCAAATAGTAAGCAAAATGAATTTGATCATAACTTAAGGAAAAGAAAAAAATTGCTTTATGATTTTCTCTCCAGTGCCTAAAGAAAACACTGAGGTTGGTGATTGGAAGAGTGATATAGCATTAATCCTGGTGTACATATTACATTTCCAGTTTCCAGCTGATTAATGAATATAACTCTACTTTAAATTGCAATGTAGCTGCTTTCTGTCACTAATCTTTATATTTCTGTCCTTCCAATTTTGGGAATTTTAGGTACTCTCTCTTTGATGGAGAGGGTGACGTTTGACTAAAAGGGAAAGAGTAATAAGGTTGACGTTTAAGTTTTATGTTTTTGGTGGTTTTAAGACATCTTAATGTATGTTTAATTAAATGAGTATTCTACTTATTCCATTAAAATGAAGGCATTATACATTATTTTTATTTATTTGAAGCTCCCCAAAGTTTAATTGATAAACATTTGGAAGTAGTGATATAGGGTTTCCTTTCCTTCATTTTAGATAGTTCTTTTTGACACACACTATGTATAAATCACTATAGATGTTAAGAAAGAAAAAAAAATGCATGAAGGGGACTCCTGAGTTGATAAGACTTAAGCTTTAGTAGGGGGATAGATACACACACATACGTACACCTATATATATGTACTTCACACCCTATGGCATAGCCAGGTTGTACTGTTGGTAATTTATAATAAACCTACAGAAGTTACTCAGAAGTTGCAGAGTTGGATTGGAGGAGCATGGGAAGAGGCCACGTGAAGGGCCACTGAATATAGATTTCATGGAAAAGTATCCAGCCTGAGAAAGTGGTCTGCAGAGTTTTAAAACTCAGCAAGATGATTGTAGTAAGGACCTTATTAGATTGTCAAGCAGAATAGTCTGAACATAAACTACATTGCAGCTTAATTATTGGATTTGTGGCAAAGTGGCCAGACCCTATAATAAGGAATTTTGAGCTTAAAGAATCAATAAATAACATAAGGAACTCGTTCATTTTACATAAGCTAGAGATTTTACTTTAGTTAAGCTGAGAACACAAATAGTGGGACTTTCTGAAAAAGTGTGCTATTTTAGCATAGTGTGTAGTGTCACTATTCCAGTATTACAGAACTTGAAATAATTCTGGAATATCTGAGGGAATAGAAAGCTCTAAAAATTCTTGCTACAGAAGAATATTGAACTCTATAAATCAGTTGTTATAATATTTATATAGCACTTTATAAAGTTACAAAATGCTTTTCTTATGTAGAATGTTATGTATTCTGCATTCCTGTTTTAGGTATACAATTCAGTAATTTTTAGTAAATTTACAGAGTTGTGCACCATTGCCACAGTCCACTTGTAGAACATGTAATACTTCCTAGTCATAAATATGACTTCTGCTGAGGCTTTTTTTTTTAATATATCTGATTTTATGGTAGAAACCAAATGAAAAATTATATCTACCATAAGGGATGGCATCTAGGGATGTGCTAGAATATATCTCTTTTAAGAAACGGAATACTTAAAGTTGATATACCCTCCAAAAGGCTCATGGCTTTAAGACCAGTGACTTCTGTTGCTCTGCAAAACGTTGTGTTACAAGTAATAGAGTACTGCAATTGCTGGGTCGTATGGTAGCTCTATTTTCAACTTTTTGAGGAACCTCCATACTGTTTTCCAGAGTGGCTGCACCAGCTTAAAAAAAAAAAAGAAGAAGATAGCAGGAAGGGAAAAATGAAGGGAGGGAAATCTGAGGGGGAGACAAACCATGAGAGACTATGGACTCTGAGAAACAAACTGAGGATTTAGAGGGGAGGGGGTGGGGGGATGGGTTAGCCTAGTGATGGGTATTAAAGAGGGCACGTACTGAATGGAGCACTGGCTGTTAAACGCAAACAATGAATCATGGAACCCTACATCAAAAACTAATGATGTAATGTATGGTGATTAACATAACATAATAAAACAAAAACAAATAATAGAGTACTGAGTATGATGATGTCAAAGAATAAGGAACTTGACTCCTAGACTGACTCTGTAGGGCAGGAAACTGGCCTATGATATCCTTATGGTAGCTTTGACACATTTTCTTCTATATTTTTGCTTTCATCTTCATTTATTTACTTAAGATCTATCCAGTGTTGTAATTCCCCAGATAACCAGTGTATGAAATGCTTTTGATGTTTTAAAAAGGATTATCAGTCCCAGCTGTTCCTGGAGCTCTGGGCCCTCTCACAATCACATCCTCTGCTGTCACTGGAAGAATGGCCATTCCTGGGGCTGGTGCTTTACCAGGAAATTCTGTTCTGCTTGTCACCAATCTCAATCCTGATGTGAGTTGAGAAGATTTCTGTAATTTTAGTCTTCGAGGAGGAGGTATAGTACTTTCTGGTCTAGGGTCGTATTCAAATGAAAATGTTTGTTTCAAGGATTTTTTTATTTTAAAGATTTTATTTATCTGTTTGACAGAGGGAGACACAGCAAGAGAGGGAACACAAGCAGGGGGAGTGGGAGAGGGAGAAGCAGGCTTCCCACGGAGCAGGGAGCCCGATGTGGGGCTTGATCCCAGGACCCTGGGATCATGACCTGGGCCAAAGGCAGACGGTTATCGGACTAAGCCACCCAGGCGCCCCCGTTTCAAGGATTTTTCTTAAAGTTCATCACTTAGTATATATAGGAGAATATAAAATCAATGCTTTAAAGTCAACTGCTGTTTTTACAAGTAAACTTATTTTAAATTTTTACTTAGGCACTTATATTTTGTGTTATCCTTTTCAAACAGCTTATCACACCACATGGGCTTTTTATCCTATTTGGTAAGTTCTTCTTTGCTGTTTTTGATGTCTGTGATTTAACCTATTTCACCATTCAGTAATATTTATCTATCTCTATTTGCCAAGTAGTGTGTTTGACACTGAAGATAGAGTAGGAAATAAGACTAAGTAAGTAATTATAGTTACAATAAAGTTTTATAAAAAGGGAAATAGAGTTTGTAATGGGAACATGGAGCTGGGAGACCTGACCTAGCTGAGGGAATCAAAGGTGGTGTACAAAAGAAATGATACTTAAGCTGACTTGTGAAAAATGAGTAAGCATTAGCCAGGCAGAAGGGCGAATGTCCTTTCCCAGATACTAGCAATGGGTGAGAGAGCTCCTGGAACATGGAAGTGAAGGAAGGCCCCCCCAGTGGAAAGTGTAGGGGAGACATGTTGAAGCTGGACAGATGAATATGGGCAAGGTCATGAAGAGCTTTGTAAACTAAATTAAGGAGCTTGATTTTTAACCTAAAAACAGTGGGAAACCATTGGACAGTTTTAAGCAGGGAAGAGGCCTAATGAAATTCAGGTTTTAAAAAATGAGATTCAGATTTTAAAAAGTTTCCAGACTTTCTAATAGTGTTCTTCTCTCAGTTAAAAAAAAATTTTTAGCATGTACTCGTAATTTATATATGATTATTTATAAATTTTATCCATCTTTTACTGTACAGTATAATATGTACAAACAAATAAAAGAGCAACAAAGTAAGTAATATCCAGCATTTTAAAGATTTTTATTGATGAAAATTTTCATAAAAAACATTAACAGTGAGAAGTATGATTTAACATTCTTCATTATTTTCAAAAATAATGAAAAGTAGTTTTCCCATTTTGATTTAGCACTTCCGGGTCTGATTCCAAATTCAGTTTATTTTAGTACTTGATATTAATGGTTGTCAAAACTAAAAAAGATAGCTCATAAAGTTAAGTGATTTAAGTGGAAATATTTCATTGTCACTGTGCCTAATTATGATACTAATTTTTCAGTTTAATCCACTTATTTTTGTTGTACTTTGCCTAGAGAAGTTCCATTTTTTTTCCTCTTGTTAAATTGGTTGATGTTGAAATCTTGCATTAGAATATTTTTTAACAAATGGGGTTAAAACTCACTGGTACTCTTTATTTGAAAGTTTTATTAGGATGGAAAATTGTTTCAAAATTTTGAGTCTATAATAGGTTTTTTAAACAGTCTTTTTTAGATATATATTTTATAGTCATACGGTTCACCTACTTTAGGTATATAAATCATTGATTTTTAGTAGATTTACATTGTTGTACAGTCATTACCACAGTCCAGTTTTAGAAGATTTTCATTACCCCACAGAGATCCTTCATACTCATTGGAGTTACTATGAAAGTTTTTATTCATAACACATTCATGTAATTTTCAATAACAAAATTAGGTATTAATGATAAATTTTCACATGTCTCTTTAATAGCTAAAGTACATTTCTTTCTAAAAGTAGTTAATTTCTTACTTGTTTAAAAAAAATAGCACCCTCCGCTTGAAGAACAAATTGTATGTGTTATTTTTTAAAGAATATCTATTTTAGCCACTCGTCATTTCTAAGAAGGACAGCATGTTTGGAATACTTGTCTTTTTGTTTTAAATTTTAAAAGTTCCATTCATCTCTAAGTTCAGTTGCTCTTAGGTGCTTTCCTACAAGATAACGAGCACTCTTTTGTGTGCCTTGAAGATTTTCAGTTATTCTCTCATCTCATTACAAAGTATGGTCATGGTGCTACTTATTTAAGAGTCTTATTTTTATTATACTGGTGATACCCTCTAGCATATAAACTGCAGTATATTTTGATATACTGAATTTTAAAAAGAGAATACTCTTCTTCTTGTAGAAACTTCTGCCTGTAATTTCATGTATATATTAAAAATTAGTAAGATGTAGTTTTTATATTGGCTTATATAAACAAATCAGTATAAATAGGAGTTTGATTATTTCCCCCTACACCCCAGTGAATCATTTTGCCAGTCCTTTGAAATATGGGATCCACTTTGGAAAAGACAGGAATAGAAAAATTGGTTGTATTGAGGTCAGTTAGGAGGCTATTAGGATAGTCCAGGTGTGAGATGATGATGGGGGCTTTGGTGGTAATGAGGATGGGAAGAAGTAGACAAATGTAAGAGATAATTTAGGCCATAAAAATCAATGGGTACTGGTGATTGATTGGATGTAAAAGTTTAAGGAAAGGGAGAAATTAAAAGATGACTCCCAGGTGTCTCACTGGAGCAGATATGTGGATGATGGTAATATTTATTAGCAGAGTTAGTGAACACTGGAAGCAGGGAGTGGAAAGGGGAGATGAATGTTTGGAACATACTAAATTTGAAGTGTTTATGGGACATCCAAGTGAAAAGGGTTGAATAGATTAATAGATCTGAAACAGATACAAATTTGGGCTCATATGTGTAGAATTGCCCAGAGAATATATGTAATATGAGAAAAGAAGCCTTCTTAAAATGTATTCATAAAATTAAACTACACAATTAGACATTGAAATTTTTAATAAAGTTTTGTTTTTCTTTTCGTTTAGGAGTATATGGTGATGTACATCGAGTGAAGATTATGTTTAATAAGAAAGAAAATGCCTTGGTTCAGATGGCAGATGCGAGTCAAGCTCAGCTAGGTACTAATGATTAATAATAGTAACGATAATCTGCCCCTTTTGTATGTGAATTTTCCTATAAAATAAATTTATAGGTAATAGGAATGTGATTTTACTGAAGAGTACCTCCTTACGCAAATGTCTTCATTATTATTTGGACCTGCTTATAGTTTAAGATTTAAAAATATTTATTACTCTTTGGAGTCTGAAGTTCATTCATCTATTTGAACCCATTGTTGATGTTTAGAACTTTGACTCTAGGGTTTTTCCATTAAGTATAAACTAATAAATGCGCCTTGTTTTATTTAATTTTTTTGTCATTTGTTTTTCTTCCAAATTAAGTTTTATACAACTATTTCATGGTTTAAAAGTTTGGGCAAGCTTCATAAATGATGGTACAAGAAAATGGCATTCCGTGGCCTTATTGTTCATTCTTATAGTGGCTGTTAAAAATATTACTACTCAGATTTTTTTATTAAAAAAAAAATAACAGTGTGTTCCCAAGGGGCATCTGGCTGGCTCTGTTGGTAGAACATGCAATTCTTGGTCTCAAGTTTGTGAGTTCAAGCCCCACGTTAGGCACTTAAAAAAAAAAAAGTGTTGCTTGAGATTAAACTACCTTTATTCAGTTAACCATTTCCTGAGCACTTGCTATGTTCTGTGCACTATGGAACTGTCTAGCACTGTGCTAAGAAGATAGTTTTTTTTGTTTAAGATTGCTTCTCTTTCATTATAGTCAAGTAAAGTCACTTAATACATATCTGTATGTAAGAGTTTTTTAATTTAAAACCATTTTAACCTTCAGAACTGACAATATAATTTCAAATGACTAAATAAAAGGAATTTGTGATAATTTAGACAAATTTTACAGTGACTCTTAATACCCAAAATTTATTTTCTTCCTGTGCACCAGCAATGAACCACCTAAGCGGACAGAGACTTTATGGAAAAGTACTTCGTGCTACACTGTCCAAACATCAGGCAGTTCAGCTTCCTCGAGAGGGACAAGAAGACCAAGGTCTGACTAAGGATTTTAGCAATAGTCCTTTGCATCGCTTTAAAAAACCTGGCTCTAAAAACTTCCAGAATATCTTTCCACCATCAGCTACTCTGCATCTTTCCAACATTCCGTATGTACCTAATTATTTATTATTCATTTAGATGATTAATTATGTTTTGGGAGAGGTAGAAACTCTGAAATTATTCTAATGTAGCAGTCGTCCTAGTCACTTAGATGGTTTATTTGGTTTATCATGTCTTAAGGTTCTATCTCTAGTCATACACTCCAAAAGTGAAAGGTAACAATTTCTTTCCAAATAGGGAATTAGCAACTAGTTATCTCTCAGTTTTAAAAGGGCATGAAAATAAGTTTGTGTAGGGGCACCTGGGTGGCTCAGTGGTTGGGCATCTGACTCTTGGCTCAGGTCATGATCGTAGGGTCCTGGGATTGAGCCCTGCATCAGGCTCCACACTCAGTGTGGAGTCTGCTTGTCTCCTTTTCTCTGCCCCTCCCTCAGCTCACACTCTCTCTCTCTCTAAAATAAAAAATAAATCTTTTTTAAAGAAAAGTTTGTGCAGAAATATTCCATTGGTACATACTTGTTCATCTCTTTGTATAGAAGTAAAGGATTAAGTTAATTTTTAAAAAAAGAAGGATTAACCAACATAGCAAAATCAGATACTTTGCGTCTATATGGGAAAAGTGAATTCTCTAGTATTTATCAACACGTTGCAAAGCCATTTATATATTAATTACTTAAAAGCTAAAAATCACTTTATTGTGACCACTCTGTGTTAAGCAGTGTTGTAGTAGACTTGTTCTTTACTCATCTTCTAACTCAGGAATTAACAAACTATAGCCCACCGGCCAAATCCCTCTGTTATTTATATGGCCTGTGAACTAAAATTGATTTTTACATTTTTAAATGGTCAGGGGGTGGGGGGGCGGGGAGAAAAGCAAAAGAAAAGAATTTTGTGATTTTAGAAAATTATATAAAATTCAAATTTCACCTTCCAAAAATAGTTTCATGGAAGATAACCACACTCATTCATTTATATAGTGTCTGGCTGCTTTTGAGCTACAACAGCAAAGCTGAATAGTTGCAACAGAGACTCTGTGACCATCAAAGCTTAAGATACTTACTGTGTGGCCCTTTATAGAAAGCATCGTGCAATCCTTGTTCTAATTCTTGAAATCCTTGACCTTTGAAGATGGCAGTTGTGTATAACTTAATCTCATGCATGAAGGAGTAATGAACTTTGGAAAGGGTGGGGTAAAAGCTGTGGGGTATGGTTGTATATGCCCACATGTGTGTGGAAATTTAAAGACTGAGGGAATGAAGAAAGGGTAAAATTCTAGAACATTATTGAGAATGAGAATGGGGATGAATAGGAATAGATATAATCACTCAAAATAATGTGGATTGCTTGGGCTGCCAGCTAGTCTCTGGTTAGGCTACCTGAAGGAACCTTGAATCTGAATTGGGCAATGGCTCAAACCTCATTCCAGCCAGGAAACTGGAGGAATCACTGAAGGAAAAACTCGAGATTACATGGATCTAGAAATGGAGCAGCTCATTACTATGGAGTCAGGTAGAAGGACAACATACTTAGATACCGAGACAGGCTCCTGTCATTGTTACCTTCTTAAATACATTACCTAGGGGTGGTCTCAAGTTACAACCTACAAAGGACATGTAGGCAGAAGAAGGAAAGGACATTAATATTTTTTGAACCATCTACCAAGTCCTGGGCGCCATACTGGTAACTTACATGTGTTACCTCATTTAATCTCCATTATAATAACCTTTTTTTAATGTGGTAAAATACACATAACATAAAATTTATCTTTTTCACCATTTTTGAATGTGCTGTTCAGTGTACCTTCACATGAAGTGCATTCCTGCTGTACAGCCATCACAACTGTCATCTGCAGATTCTTGTCATTATCCCACACTGAAGCTCTGTACCCATTAAACAGTAATTCCCCATTTTTCTCTATACCCTAGTCCCTGGTAACCACTATTCTGTCTCTGTCAGTTCGTGCATAGTAACCTTTGAAGTAAAGTCATTAATTTCATTTATCAGTGAAACTGAGAGTCTCAGGTTAAGTACCTTACTCAAAGTCATATACCAATGAATGAGAAATAGAATGTGAACACAGATCTGTCTCCATACAGACTCAGTCATTGTTCTACTACACCATCCTTACTGGCAGTCATGAGATGAAAGAAGTCTGTATTTCATCTCATAAGAAATCAGTGAAATAGGACAGCTGTATTTCAGAGTATTTCATCTCATAAGAGATGAGATATTATCTCATACTGTTACTCTGTATTTCATCTCATAAGAAATTAGTGAAATAGGACAACTGCTATGTTAGAATAATTTAGTCAGTTGACCCTCATGTGATAGGCCACTGTACTAGTTATCTACTGCTACATAACAGATCACCCCAAAACTTAACAGTTTAACAAAATAGTAAACGTTTATTATCTCATACTGTTACTCTGAGTCAGAAATCCAGAAATGGCTTAGCTGGGTGTTTTTGACTAAGGATCTCTCATTAACTGGGGCTAGAGGATCCACTTCCCAAGTAGTTAACTTACTTACGCACCTAGTTGTTTACAGGCAGCCTCAGTTCCTTGCCACACGGTCTTCTCTATATGGCTGCTTGAGCATCCCCATGAAATAGTAGCTGGTTTCTTCCAAAGTTAATGATTCAAGGAGGGCAGGGTGGGAATTCCACTGTCTCTCAGCCTTAGAAGTCAAACATGTCATTTCTACAGTACCGTAAAGGTTACAGAGGACATTTCTTCGTTATGGGAGAGGAGTATCTAAAGGCCTCAATACTAGGAGGCAGTAATAATAGGGAGCCATCATAGAACCTGGCTCCCACGTACATGTATTCAGAATTACCCTAAAAGGCATTGAAAATGTAGAACTCTGGTGGTTGATAGCTAACAAGTCAGAACTGGGAGGTAACTTTGGTAATATTAGAAGTAGCTTTGGAAATACTAGAGTTATTTACTGAAGTCAGTGATATGGGTAATTATCCCTTTAAAAGAAATACAGATAGATTTTCTTGTTCTTTATATACCTGCTCATATCTCACGCAAAAGATTTGAGACCAAATTACATTGTTTGAGGACATGTATGTGTCAACCTTGAACATCTTTCAGGGCACTTCCAAATCATGTCTTCATTGTATGGCTTTATTATCTTTGAAGTATGAGCTACTCTGGAAATTTGACAGTTGGCAGCAGTTAATCTTTGGTTCATGGGAGAATGGGGGCTAAGATAGTTGACACTCTCTGTGATGTTTTCACAGCCCTTCTGTTACAGTGGATGATCTGAAGAACCTTTTCACAGAAGCGGGATGTTCAGTGAAGGCTTTTAAATTCTTTCAGTAAGTCCATGCTTTCACCCCAAGAAATACATTAACATTATTTAATGTGTTATGCAAATTTTTTAAGTAGTTTAATGAAGTATAGAGGGTTGGGGAGAATTGTAGGCAAAATTAATTCTATATACTTTTTATTTCTTACATTATTTTCAGGAAAGATCGCAAAATGGCACTCATTCAGTTGGGATCTGTGGAAGAAGCAATCCAGGCCCTCATTGAGCTTCATAACCATGACCTTGGAGAAAATCACCACCTCAGAGTTTCCTTCTCAAAATCTACAATCTGATTTTTCTGTGAATTTTTCTCCTAAGATTGGACCATAATTTCAGTAAAACCTTCAGACATAGACTGAAGCAGCTCAAGACCAATTCTGCCTCTTTCACAAAAGTAACTCTGGTTTGATATTCAAGTATATTCAGAAAATCAAGGGATGTTCTTTTTTTCCATTTTTTCCCCCTTGCCAGTATGTGATCAAAGGTTTGTTTTTCCTTTGTACCATAGTTTCTATGAAAATAACCTTCAGGAAATAAAAATCAGGAAAGGAATTTTTTTTCAATAATTTAATTCCCTGTATTAAATTGGATTTCAAGAGGACAGACTTTCTTTTAGTTTGGGTCCAGATCAGCCTTATACAACATTTCTAAAATCCTTTGTACTTTGGAAAAATTTAAACATACAGACTTTAAAAAAAAAAAAAACAAAAACAAGTTTTTAACTTGATGATTCAGAAGTTCAACCCCTATAGGAAATTATGTTCACTTATAAATTATATTATTTGGCATATATTAATAGGTATACATAAACAGATTGGGTTGTATTGGAAGAAAATTTATAAACTTGCATGTTTTCCTTCAATGGTTTCTTTTTTTTCACTGTAAGACACTCCTTGGAATAGTACACACCTTCAATTTTTTAAGACTATTTGGAGAAATGAAGTGTCTCAGTTGTCCCCAAGGAAATTAAATAGAATCCAAGATCTATTAAAGTGTCAAATTAATTATTAGTTTTATTAGGAAAATCATGGTTTAAATTTCCAAATGACACTATTTGCTGACTAATATGATCTTAGAAAATTTAAAAAGAAAAGTAATCTACTTACAACTACTTTTTTTATAATTATTTTCAGAAAAAAAGTTTACAGTCTTAAGGAAAATATTCAGGTCTATCATATGGTTTGACAGATTTTTTAAAAGTTATTTTTGGTAAGGTCTTCTTTTAGAAAAAAATTAATCTCAAGGGTTTTTTGTACCACTATAATCTCTAATACTTATTCAGAATTACTGTGTATTTACTTAATTTCTTATTATGTGCCTTATTATGTGCTTATGATACAATAGGTTAGAATTTTATCTAAGTATCTTGAAAGCTATATCGTGGGCTTGGTGAGCATTTTTTTTTTCTTTCCCTGTTTTGGTAAGGATTTTAAAGTTTTTTCATTGCAATTTTAAGTGGTTTTCAATAAGTAATAGTTTTTATTCAAATTTTTGGTGCTTTGGTGCAGAGATGGGGTGGGGAAGGGTGAATGGTTTGGGGACTATCTCAGTGCAACACCTGTAGGCCTCTTCACATCGTGACCAGTAGTGGTCGTGCAGTCATTGACAGAGCGTACCAGTTAGGGACTATAAAATGCAATCTCAGTTTCTGGATCTTGTCTAACCTTTATCACTCATTAGAATTTGTCTCAGGATTACTTGGTTTTTCTCAGTACTCAAGTGACATGCTTTTCTTTGTTAATGTAACGTCATTACTGAGTGCCCATGTACATGGAGTATGACAAGGTGGGCTCCTTTTTCATACTCTGTCCCTCTCTATGGCTGAGTGTAAGAATACGTTTTAATGTTGCTTCAATGATTCTATAATGTAAAATTCTTTCTTTTTAATGAGAAACTTTGCATTTGTTATTTTTTGCAGTGCTTGATCAGATTTTTTTAAAATCAGAATTTGTCAAGAGGGTCATTTTTGTCCATCCCTTTTACAGTTTTCAGATCCTCAGAGTAGCTCATCTCACCTTTAAAAATATCTCACTTTCTTTCCTATATTCCATTAGTTTGAATGTTGGAAGATTTCAAAAAATTGGAGACTACAGAAGATACTATAGGTTCTTAAAAAGCAAAATTCACCCAACACTGAGCAACAGGTAGTTGGTAGATAGAATAGGAAGGAGAAATTGGAACCTTTCAGATGACTCCATTTTAGCATTGACTGAGTAGATAGGTATAATCATTTATATAGTTTTTATTTTTTTTTTCACTTAATGTGTTTTTACTAAAACACTTGAGTAAGGGGGGAGGAAAAAAAATTTTTTTTTTTTTTTTTGCGAAATCTCCGAATATTTGCTTCTTTTTTCCTAACATACAGGGACTATTATAATTGTCAGTGACACATTAAATTGGATTATTTTGTTCGCTTTTAGTTAGGAATTACTGTGTGATTTAATTCATGATTCTCATAACATTCAGTGTCAATGTAGCAGAAGGGAGATCATAATAGCATTGAATGTAATTTTGAAGTAGGGAATGGCCTTTAAATCTGAGAGAACATTTGAATCCTTTTCAGGGAGGGTGTGTGTATGTGTGTGTGTGTGTGTGTGTGTAGATAAATATATATACATACATGCACTCTTCTAATGTACATACATATGCACAGTACATACATTTTAATTTATTGACAAAAATTAAGATTTGGAAAAGTGAGATATTCTTATCTAAAATAGTATGCTTGAAATCATCAATTTGTGTCTGAAATTAGCTGTAGTGCATGGATATTGTCCATATTGGGTTATTTGCTGTTTGAATTACAGAGGTCTACAGTACTTGTTTTGGCATAGTGTCTGTAGAAAGATTTAAAAATATCAGGGTAGTGGAAAAACTAAATCTTTGTACTTTTGTTTTGGCATGCATTTATTCAGTATCTTCTGAACAATGTTTATTTTCGCTGTTGAGCTGTCATAGTATCCTATTTTTAAGTTTATTTACTTTATTTTAAGTATTGTCATCACTTTTTGGAAATGTCTTGACTTTTACACAAAGTATATATATTCAGGTCTTCAAAAAATAGCAGTACACGTTCAGCAGTAGCAATTTATGCCAAAAAGTTTTACTTTGAGATTTAAATAACTTGCTTAGCAGTAAAATGTGTTTTGTGTGAGATACAAACAGAAAAATGACCCAGTATCTTAATATCTTAATTGATAACTTACTGGAGAGTATCAGAATTCCCAATAGCTCCTATAGAATGCCATAAATCGTTTAAGACTGGTAATCAGTTATTTTTAGTAATGTTTCTGATTCTATTGTTAAATGTAGCAGATCTCACAAATTTTAGAGACAGAATTTCTGCCTGTTTAATTCCTTATGGGAGCAGTGCCTTCTTTGGCTCCTCCTAGGATGGTGATCATTGGTTCTACTTCAGATGATAAAAAGTTAACTCTCATAAATGTCTGTCATTTTCATACAAACATTTCAAAGCTGCCATGTCATTAGGCTGTGAAATTTATATAGTGAATATACTATCATGTAATTTCTGTTCCCACTAAATATTTTTGGACAAAAGATGACAAACTCAAAAGTATGTGTCCCCCCCCAGTGACTCACTTAAAAACCCTACATTTGCCAAACTATCAGTCTGTCTCTTCAAAAACCAATGTGTACTGCTATTTTTAAAACCAAAAAGACAGCATGACTATGCGTAAAAGCATTTTTCTTAGCCTTTCCTTTGTCTTGATCAGTTGTTAACAAGAATAAAACTGCCAGACTTAAAATATTCTACTATTGTGCTAAAAGAAATACAGTTTAGATTGCACAAAAGTTTTCCTTTAAAGAAAATAGAACTCAGCTGTCCTTCAAAAGAGCTGTGTTGTTATCTCTAAGACTATTTGCAGTCTTTTTTCACAGCAAATTCTAACAGTTAGTTATGAATGGTTTAAAAAGTAGAAAATTACTAAAAAGTTTGGGGGGTTTTATAAAGGGAGGAAGACAAAACAGGACCAAAGTTTATGTGCCTTCTTCAGTAGTCTTAATTGACCTTTTCTTCCTATTTGAGACTAAGGTAGTATCAGTATTCTGGTTTTCAGGAAATATGTACTATATAATTTTAAAAGAATGTTATCCCACGGACTATTCATACAAGCAAAGAATTGTAACTGTATAAATGAAGTCTCAGTTACAGTTTTGCCTTTATCACATAATATTCATTCTATAGCATTGTGCAGGTCCAAGAATGAGCTGCTCTTCATCTTTGTGGTAGTCATTTTAGTTTTTGTAACCTGAGGCATATGTTCCAGAGAACAGGGATATTTGTCTGGTCCAGTGACCTTGGTGATAATAGTCATGATTGAAAGCTGCTTATAGCAAGCTTAAGTCAGCACTGTAAACAGATTTTGTTGTGTTAATTTTCAGTTTTTGAACCTATGTAGTAGTTGTATTAACAGATATTTAAATAGATATTTTTGATGTCATTTAAAAAAAAAAAATGCTCTGGCCTTTTCCCCCCTTACCATTGTTACCCAGATCTTTTAAAAATTCATCCCACATCCAAAAAGTACTAATTATAGATTGCTGACCAAGCAAAGTTTTGCATCAAAATGTCACCTCATTGCTCTGACCAAAGACTTACTGTTCTGGTTTTAACTCCTCTCATTAAGCATTTTTTCCCAAGCTCCTTTCTGAAAGAAGACCCAGTGCAAAGCGGCCTTTACTTTCTATTTCCTATTGGTGAATAGACTACTTAGAGAAAATGGGAGTATAAATGTGAACAGAACGGATTAGGATGACAAGGGTTTGATGGGCATTTTCAGTACTGTATTTAAGAAAAACAAAAATAGCACAGCTAGGAGCCTCTGACATTGTCTTGTGTTTTATGTGGTCTGTTCATAAAATTCCCTTTTTCAGTTTGTAAGAATGTTCATCTAAAAGTAGAAAATGCTGTAAATATTTGTAACAACATTTTTTTTAACCAGGCCAAAAAAGGAAAAAAAAAAAGGTTTTTGGGAACAAGTTAACATATAAAGTGGTTTTATATAAAACATCAATTGTCTTGTATATTTTGATAAGCAGCAGTACCAGCTTTCATTTGTAACACAGTTTGTGGTGTTGGAAGAAAAGGATTCTGTGATTAAGTGAATTATGTTATAAATGCAAAGAGAAGATAAAATATTAAAAAAAATATTTTCTAAATGCGTAGTGCATGGTTAATTCAAGCTTCTGTACTCTACAGTATATTCCATTTTCGTTCAGTTTGTATATTTGCTGACTATTACTTGATAATCTCTAATCTCTTTTCCTAACAAGTATAGCATTGTAGCATGCCTT